TTTATGCCAGGTACTGGCATAAACACTTTACATACATTTGCAAATTTAAATGTCATAACAATTCTATGAGATTCAAAGAATTTTAATAGGGATAGATGGCTAATTGACAGCAAACACGGGGTTTAAATTTGGTAGTGTTGACTCCAAAACCCATGATCTTTTTCTGATACCATGTTAGAGTTAGTTAACTAATGAACTGCTACAAATGAAAAATAATAGGAAATATCATGAAAGAGATAGGGCTTAAAGATAATTTCATAAATAAGAATGTATAAAATGAGCAAATAATAAAGTAAAATAAAATCAGCAAAGCACAAAACAGGAATGAACAAGGCTTGTGAGACACTACCTGCATTTACAAGGTTTCTAAAGATGACACTGCAATTGTTTGTTCTACTATACGTTTTATTTCTACCTGTTCCAAGCCTCACATTATTTTTACTTAAAACAGTAAATAATGTTTAAAGGAAACTTTAAAAAGAAAAAAAATAATATATTTACTTACATACCTAATATTTCCAGCATGCTTCATGCCTCTGGGTAGATCCCAGTTTGTATTGGTTATAATTTTCTTTCAGCTTACAACTTCCTTTACCATTTCTTGTACTGCAGATTTCCTGGCAGCAAATTCTCTTGGCTTTTGTTTAAAAATCTTTATTTCAGGGCGCCTGGGTGGCTCAGTCGTTAAGCATCTGCCTTCGGCTCAGGTCATGATCCCAGGGTCCTGGGATCGAGTCCCACATTGGGCTCCCTGCTCGGCAGGAAGCCTGCTTCTCCCTCTCCCACTCCCCCTGCTTGTGTTCCTGCTCTCGCTATCTCTCTCTCTGTCAAATAAATAAATAAAAATCTTAAAAAAAAAAAAAATCTTTATTTCACCTTCACCTTTGAATGCTATTTTCATTGGATATAGAATTCTAGGATAATATTGAGTTCTTTTCTTTCATCATATTAAAGATGTTTTGGTTTACCCTGCTTCTGAAAGAAATTTTTCATCATCCTTACCATTTTCTGTATTTAATGTGTCTTTTTTTCTCAGACTGTTTTCTCTCTTCTTAACTTTCAGTAATTTGAATATGATATGCCTTGGTATGCTTTTGTTTGTGTTATCCTCTTTGAAGCTCACTGAATTCTTGGGTCCGTGGGTTTACAGTTTTCATCAGCTACTATTTCATGTGGTCTTTTCCAGACTCCTCTCCTTCAGAGAGACTCAAATGAATGAGATGACTTGATATTGTTCTGCAGGTCACTGATGCTGTATTCATATCCATTTTTTTCCCCTCTGTATTACAGTTTAGATAGTTTGTACTACTCAATTTCACTGACCTTATTTTTTATACTGTCTTATCTGCTTGTTAAACTCATTCAGTGAAGTGTTCATTTTATTTCATTTTATTTGGTTTATTTCATTTTATTTCTAAATTCTTTAAGTTTCATGTTATTCTTTTCTACATCTTCTATTTATCTCATTATGTTCACGTTTTCCTTTAACTTCTTCAACACATTGATAATAGCTGTTTAAATCCTGTCTGCTTATTCAATCATCTCTGTTTTTTCTGGGTCTAATTTATATTGCCTAATTCTTCTCCTGATTTTGGGTCAGACTTTCTTGCTTCTTTCTAGTTACTTTTCACTGGATGTTGGACACTCTGAATGTTCCATTTTTGAGTGTCTGAATTTTTAGGTCTTCCTTTTTTTTTTTTTTTTTTACTTGCAGTGTATTTTATTTTTTTAAGTTCAATTTAGCCAACATATAGTACATCATTTGTTTTTGATGTAGTGTTCAATGATTCATCAGTTGCATATAACACCCAGTGCTCATCAGATCACATGCCCTCCTTAATACCCATCACCCAGTTACCCCATCCCCCCACCACCCTCCCTTCTGCAACCCTCAATTTGTTTCCCAGAGTCTCTCATGGTTTGTCTCCCTCTCTGATTTCTTCCCATTCAGGTTTCCCTCCTTTCCCTCCCTCCTATTGTTCTCTGCCCTATTCCTTATATTCCACATATTAGTGAAACCATATGATAACTGTCTTTCCATGCTTGACTTATTTCACTTAGCATAATACCCTCCAGCTCCATCCATGTCAATGCAAATGGTAGGTATCCATCCTTTCTGATGGCTGAGTAATATTCCATTGTATATATGAACCACATCTTCTTTATCCATTCATCTGTTGAAGAACATCTCGGCTCCTTCCACAGTTTGGCTATTGTGGACACTGCTGTTATGAACATTGGGGCGCACATGCCCCTTCTTTTCACTATGTCTGTATCTTTGGGGTAAATACCCAGTAGTGCAATTGCTGGGTCATAGGGTAGCTCTATTTTCAACTTTTTGAGGAACCTCCATACTGTTTTCCAGAGTGGCTGTACCAGCTTGCATTCCCAACAACAGTGTAAGAGGGCTCCCTTTTCTCCACATCCTTGCCAACATTTGTTGTTCCCTGTCTTATTAATTTTGGCCATTATAACTGGTTTAAGGTGGTATCTCATTGTGGTTTTGATTTGCACTTCCCTGATGGCAAGTGATGTGGAGCATTTTTTCATGTGTCTGTTAGCTATTTGTATATCTTCTTTGAAGAAGTGTCTGTTCATGTCTTCTCCCCATTTCTTGACTGGAGTATTTGTTTTTTGGGTGTTGAGTTTGAGAAGTTCTTTATAGATCTTAGATATTAGTCCTTTATCTGTTATGTCATTTGCAACTACCTTCTCCCATTCCGTAGACTGTCTTTTAGTTTTGTTGACTGTTTCCTTTGCTGTGCAGATTTTTACCTTGATGAAGTCCCAAGAGTTCATTTTTGGTTTCCCTTGCCTTTAGAGACATGTCTTGCAAGAAGTTCCTGTGGCCAAGGTTGAAGAGGTTACTGCCTGTGTTTTCCTCTAGGATTTTGATGGATTCCTGTCTCACATTTAGGTCTTTATCCATTTTGAGTCTATCTTTGTGTATGGTGTGAGAGAATGGTCCAGTTTCATTCTTCTGCATGTGGCTGTCCAATTTTCCCAGCACCATTTGTTGAAGAGACTGTCTTTTTTCCACTGGACATTCTTTCCTGCTTTGTCGAAGATTCGTTGACCATAGAGTTGAGGGTCCATTTCTGGGCTCTCTGTTCTGTTCCATTGATCTATGTGTCTGTTTTGTGCCAGTACCATACTGTCTTGATGATCACTGCTTTCTAATTTAGCTTGAAATCGGGCAACGTGATGCCCCCAGCTTTGTTTTTCTTTTTCAACATTCCCCTGGTGATTCAGGGTCTTTTCTTGGGTCTTCCTTTTTTAAAGAGGGTCAGCTTTATTTTGACAGGCAGTTAAGCTGTCTGCAGATCAGTGTTCAAGAACTATTTTTAAGCTTTGTTGGTGAGGGTTTAGGCAGCCTAGGCCTACCTTAGCCTTAATAGTAAAGGCATGATCTTTCTGGGTTCTCTAATGTCCAAAATGTTCAACAATGTCTCTTTCCTGTGTCTGATCAGAACTCTACCATCTCTCAATTCTTTGTTAGCTCTAAGAATTGTTCAGTTTATAGTGTCCTGGTATTTGTTCTGTCCCCAGTAATCATTCTTTGCCTAACCTCTTGAAATCTCATTCTAAGTTTGCACAGCTTAGTATTCAGCTAAGAGTCAATGGTACACTATGTAGACATTTAGAGCTCTTTCTCTGGGTACTGCCCTTCTCTCTGTTGTTATGCCCCACAAATTCCAGTGACTATAGCCTTCCTGAACCCTGATCTCTGTCTCCTCAACACCATGCTCTGCTTAGAACCTCCTTCCATGTGCTATGATCCAGAAAGTTTCTCCAGGCTGAAAATCAGGACCATATTAAGACTCTGTTTCCCTCTTCCTTCAGTCAGTTGTCCAAGGTTTGAAAGCCAATGTTTCACAGATTTTGTCCAGTTTTTTATTTATGATGGGAGTGCAAGTACAAGTTCAAAAACATTATTCCATCATGGCTAGGAATAGAATTGCCCTCTCCAATTCCTTTCTTAAGGTAGTGATGCTGAAAAATCCTTATGGTATTAATTTTTCTCTGATCATTAAAGTGTTAAAAATCATAAAAGTTTTAAACATTACTATCTCTGTGCAAGTCACCTTAATTTTAAATTGTACTTCCTAATAATCAACTCTATTTAGAAATGTATTTTCTTCAATTTATAGCCATGCTAAGATAAACAGAGTCGTGAAAATGGAATTGCATTCCTTATGTACACTTAGTTTAATCTGAATTTCATAAAACATTTCTTCTAAGTAGGAAGAGGTTTCTTTAGTTCTTTTTTTTACAGTGGCTTACAACACAACTGATTCTTTTACAATTCTGATGGTCAGAAGTCTAAAATCAAGGTGTTGCAAGGGCTGTTTTTTAGAGTCTTCAGGAAGGAATCAATTTGTTGCCTTCTCTAGGTTCTAGAGGACAACTGCATTCCTTGACTCATGGCCTCTTCCTCCATCTTCAAAGGACATTTCCCTAACATCTGGTTCCATGGTCACATCTCCTTTTCTCTCACTTTTTCTCAACATATTATTTCCTTCTTGTAAAGACCCTTGTGATTACATTGGGCCCACCCAGACAACCTAGCATAGTCTCCCCACCTGAAGATCCCTAATTTAATCACATCTGCAAAGTCCCTTTTGCCACATAAGGTAACATATTCACAGATTCTTGAGATTAGAATGGGGACATCTTTGGAAGGCCACTATTCTGCCTATCACAGTATGTGAGCACCTGCTTTGTTTCCAACACTAACCTGATCTCTAGGAAATCAGAGATAAAAAAACATGGCCCCTCCCCCTTGCAGAGCTGAATTGCAAGCCAGAGGAAAGACTTAGTTCTTACAAAATGTAAAGGTTTTTCTTAAAATGATTAAAAAGCAAAATAATTAGGACAACTATAAATAATTAATGTAAGAATAAACTATGTCTTACAATGGGTAGATGCAGTTTATTTTTATGAACTAATATAAAATTATCAAGAGGGTAAGGAATAGGAGACATAAAATTATAATTTACCTCTTATTTGCCTGTCAACAACTCTCATTTCCTTTCTTATCTTCAATGACCATTCATTGACCTGGGAAAAATTTTAGAAAATAATTATAAGAAAAGCCAACACTCCTAATGCACCAAATGTTAAAGTATTTTGTATTAATTCTACATTTATTCCAGATAAAAAATAAATAAATCCATTTTCAAACAAAAGCTTTAAGGCCAAATTCTTTTTTTTTTCTTTTCATCTTTTTATTCACAGTACAGCAGTCCCAATCTATTTTAACTTTTTTTTTTTTTTTTAAAGATTTTATTTATTTATTTGAGAGAGAGAGAATGAGAGAGAGCACATGAGAGGGGAGGGCCAGAGGGAGAAGCAGACTCCCTGCCGAGCAGGGAGCCCGATGCGGGACTCGATCCAGGGACTCCAGGATCATGACCTGAGCCGAAGGCAGTCGCTTAACCAACTGAGCCACCCAGGCACCCAGTCCCAATCTATTTTAAAATTCTTATCTGAAGGCAGGCCATAAGAAGTACTTTATACAAGACCTCAGAGAGAGTTCAGGACCCTGCAGGTACGTAAACATTTTTCCAGAGGTGCACGGGCATAGTAGAAAATTATGTTTAAAAGCCAAAAATCAGGGCTCTTGGGTGGCTCAGTCGTTAAGT